GGAATGCTTACTGGCAATGCTTCCTGCCTATAACCTGGCTGCCCTCTCTGTCCACAATCCTTCATAATCCCTATGCAACCCCCATTCCCTCTAGGGAGCTCACCCAAGTGAGCGCAGCCCGACCTGAGCTTGCTTACCTTCATACTGAGTTTGCCTGGGGCTCAGAGAGCTGGGGAGGCCAGCAGGGCCATGTCAGGTTCAGGCTACAGAACTGGGAACACTGGTGTTGGTAAGCCATGGAGGGAGGGATAATCCTCAGTAAGAGAGGGCTAGGGATGGCTTTAGACAGGGTCTCTGGACAAGAAAACAGATGAGGACCCTTTTGAGAAACTGAGGCCAGGATTGCCTCCCTGCTGTTGGTAGAGGGGCTCTCACTGGCAAGGCCTAGGGCCAGAGAGAAAGGCTTGAGGCTCAAGGACCCATCCCCCATTTCCCACCCTCAGTCTAGAGCCCTGCTCACCCACTCAGAAGCTGTGGGAAGTGGCAGGCTTGGGCAAGCTTGGCCAGAATCAGCTCAGGCCCCCAAAGCAGAAGATTACATTTGTTTTCATAGTCAAGACACAGGAAGACGGTCCTCCCTGCCTGGTGAGGCAGATACACAGAGGCTTGTGTAAAGTCCCAGTGTCAGTCCACAAGCCTCCTATATCCCAGGCATTGGGTGGGGTGGGGTAGGAGGTGAAGACAGGGTTCTTTGTGTAGCTCTGGCTGTTCTGGAACTAGCTCTGTAGACCAGGCTGGCCTCAAACTCACAGAGATACAGATGTGTGCCACCACCACTGGGCAATCCCAGGCTCTTTCATCTCTATACCTTTCCATGACCAGGCAAGTTATGTCAATCCTACTAAAGCCTCAGACGCTGAGAGTAAAAGGGAGGTCTCCCCCAAAAGAAGGCAGGTGCTGTGCTAACACTAGGGAATATAAACCTGGGGGCCCCCTATAAACCCACATCCCTACCTTTAGGTCTCTTCAGACACCCCAGAAGAGAGCATCAGATCCCATTACAGATGGTTATTAGCCACCATGTGATTGCTGGGAATTGAACTCAAGACCTCTGGAAGAGCAGTCAGTGCTCTTAACCACTGAGCCATCTCTCCAGCCCCCTATTTACTTTATTTATCTGTGGTTCTTCAAGACAGACTTTCTCTGTGTAGCCCTAGGTGTCCTAGAACTCACTCTGTAGATCAAGCTGGCCTTGAACTCAGAGATCCGATTGCCTCTGCCTCCTGAGTTCTGGGATTAAAGTCGTGCGCCACCACTGGCTGGCTGGCTCCTCAACCTGCCTTCTTATAGAACCCAGGACCACCATCTTAGGAATGGCACTACCCACAATGGGCTGGGCTCTCCCCCACCAATCACTAATTTTAAAAATGTCCTACAGGATTCTCTACAGCTTGATCTTATGGATGCATTTTTTTTTCAATTGAGGTTCCTTCCTCAGATGAATTTAGTTTGTGTCCAGTTGACATAAATCTATCCGGCACAACCTCTACCTACAATTTCCCCATCACTTACAAGAAGGCCATGGGCATGACTTGCAAGAGAAGAGCGTGAGGTCCAGAGAATCAATTTGTCCAAGATCAAACAGGCTGCCAGTGTCACTCAGGAATAATGACTCTGGATATGGCTGTGCTCCAGCTCATCCCTGCCACCATCTGGGACCCCTCGAGCCCAGCCTACTACAGCCCCGCCCTCTCCCACCAGGGCATTTGTGAAAGTGTGTTCGGGAAATCTGGCCTCCTTCAACTTCAAGCATATACATGGGAAGATGACGAGACCGGAATCTTCCTGTGACTATTGTCAAGGACTAGAACCTCACACTCCATGCATGTGCGCATGTGATACCATACCTGACCCAGAAATGTAATTTTAACTGGTTTGGCAGGAACAAACTGAGGCCAGGCAGTTGGATCTGGGTTACCCAACCTCACCAAGGAGAGACAGCTGAAGGGGCATTCTCTCATGTTCCCAGGCCCAGGGTCCCTGATGTGGCGCGGGGAGCTTGGGAGCATATGACCATATTCCCAGAGAGGACACTTCCTTCCTGTCCTCCAATCAGTTGATCCAAGTACTTGGATCTTGCTGGACTGTGGATGCAGTGGACAGAATGCTCCAGAAACCAGGCAAGAGTGATGTGGGAATCTCAGGCCTTCCATGGAAGGGTGCCAATGATAAACAGACTCCCAGTGTGCTCCCTTGGTGTCTGGCCTCTGACATTCCTACTGAGGGAAGACTGTCCCTCCCTGTGCTGTATACTGGCAGACCCCTTAAATCTCAGCACTCGGGAGGCAGAAGCAAGTGGATCTCTGTGAGTTCGAGGCCAGCCTATGTTCAGTCCAGCCAAGTCTCCATAGGAAGACCCTATCCAAAATCAAATTGGGAGGTGGTACTTGTTCAAGGTCAGTCAGTACCAGATGATGAAGAATTGGTTTGGCCAATGCTTCTGTGGTCCCTCATCACAGCATAACTATGGGATGCCTTCCCACCGGACACCTCTCTGTCTCCACCCCTTGACCATCCATCCTAGCTCACCCCCACACCATTTGTGTCTGTGCTCAGTCCCAGTACAACCCATTCATAAACTCGCTATGTAGTCGAGGATGAATGGCCAGGCCTGGTTCCTATTGGCTCCCGACTTTCCCTACCAGGTAACCAGCGCTCAGACCATGTTTACAGGGCCTCAATCCCATCACTGTGGATGGCAATCGAGCTATACTTCCCAACAGAAGGGTCCAAACGGCAGCAAATATCACCTGCTGCCTGGATCTTGTTCCTAAGCCCTTCTCCTTCTGCCTGCAGGGACTCAGCAGTCACGGTCTCTCTCCAGTAGACAAGTAGAGGACTCCCTTCTTGTCTACTGGGACTTCTGGGGAGGGGAAAGAGCTGGTCTGAGCTTGGCAGGGAGGGAGGAGGGGAGCAGAGCCTCTGAGCTGGCAGACCAGAGGGCGTGTATTCTCTGCCAGTGCACTTCCTGGGTTTCCATTGCAGGAAGTTTGGCACCTGCCTATCGGTGCCACTGATAGCCAGGCTGGTGCGGGCGACTCTTCGCCAGGACAATATCCCAGCTTAAATCAGCAGCGGGAGGTAGAACAGAGGCCAGGGGTGCAGAACAGACGGTGAGTAGTAGCAGCTAGACCCCCAGACTGCCTTAGACTGTCCCGAGGCTATAGTGGGTGTGGAGAGCTGGCTCCTAGATTAATCCCTTTGACCTTGGCTAAGGCCCCAACCAACACTTCGGTGTGGCGTCTCATTGTTCCACTGGATGGAGCCGTGGGGTAAACAGGTAGGTCGGTACCTTTTTTTGAGAGGGTGGGGGTTCAAGACAGGATTTCTCTGTATAGTCCTGGCTGTCCTGGAGCTCACTCTGTAGACCAGGCTGGCCTCAAACTCAGAAATCCACCTGCCTCTGCCTCCCAAGTGCTGGGATTAAAGGCGTGCGCCACCACTGCCCGGCTGTTCGGTATCGTTTTGACTCAGTGGCGCCCCCTTTTTCAACAGAGGTTGTAAGACTCTTCACACCTGCCGCAGAGAAGAGGCCCTTGCCAGGTTGGGAATGCACCCAAGGAGCCCTTGGGTACCGGTAGCCTCAGTGTAGTTCTGGGTTCCGTCCTCGGCTCTTATCTGGGGTTGGTGGCAGCGATCCAGCCTCTGGGACTAGCAGATCCGGGTGTCTAAGGGACACTCTCTGGTCTGGCTTGAGTCAGTCTAGCCTTGTCCAGCGTCCGTTGCACAAGCCTCGATCCTCCCCGGCGTCAGTGTCTGGTCTGTGGGGTGGGACCTATCAGTCCTGGAGTAGAATCTGGAAGGGTTAGATGAAAGGTTTGAAAGGGACACAAGGGAAGTCTCTAGAAATGGCAGCTACTGTAGTGACTGTAGTCGTGACTCCACACTGGTGGTAAGAATCGAATGGAAAAACCTAATGGCAAAGGTTGGGAAGGCCATTCAGGGGTGTGGGGCCTAGTGGGGAGGAGGAGGATGGAGCTCAGCTGAGCACCAAGGCACCCCACTCTGACACCTCCCTTCCGCAGCAATCTCAGGACCACCTCGAGAAGCGGTTGTGGGGGCGGGGCGAAGGTTGCAGAAGGGGACCCAATCCTGCCTGGCTATACCCCCCAGATGACTCTGGGTCCAGCTCTCCCCTGCCCAGTCCCCCATTGTGCCTCTAATCAAAAGAACAATCTGTTTGCCTGGGAATCAGACCCAGATTCCTTTCCCCAGCAATGTCCTGAGGTCTCTAGGGACCTGAGCAGCCCAGAGCAGCTCCTACCCAGGCCCCAGGGCTCTGTGCTCTGCTTCTTCAGGGGCCAGTGACAGGGCCAGGAAGCAAACAGGTGACCTGATTGTTTCCCCTGTCTCCTGTAGGGGCCTCTTTCCACCACAGGACTTGAGACCCACTTGTAGAAGGATTCATAGGCTCAGACTGGCAGTGACAGCCCAGGACACCAGATCCAGGTGACTTGCCTCACTGGGGTCTATGAAGATCCCTACCCCAGGCATTCTCTGAGTACGCCCCGCAACTCCAGTATATGTTAGCATTATCGCTTTAACTCCAGGCCAAATTGCAGAGGTGGGCAGTGCGGACCCCATTTTAGGAATTAGGTTTAGGGAAACGAGTTGACAGTCCCAGGTCACGCGTCTAGCCTAACTTATGACCCTGAAGGATTTCAGAGTCAGTCTGGGTGCAAGTACCCCTCTCCACCAGCTTAGGCAGGTGGGGCCGCTCATCCAGGTGACCTAGAGAGAGGGTGGTTAAGGATCCCACTCCTCCGACCGCCCCGCGCCTCCGCGGTGCACCGTGGGGGTGGGCAGCGGAGGAGGAGCCACAGGGAAGGGGAGGAGTGGTGGGAACAAAGGGAGGGGGCGCGGCCACAGGTGGGGGGGCAGGTAGGGCGAGCCCGCGCCCCCTCCCCGAGCGTCACCTTTTATGGTAAGGCGCGCGCGGGGCGGCGAGCAGAGGGAGGCTGGGGCGGGAGCAAGGGGCGGAGGCGCAGAGCCGGCGGAGGCCGGGGCATGGGGAGCGCGGCAGGTAAGCGGGTGCGGCGTGGGGGTCCTGGCTGTGCGCCCTGAGCAGGGTCAACCTCAAGTGGCCACATGGGCAACTCTGGGCCACCGTACTGGACCCAGCCTGGAGCTGCTGGAGGGATCGGGGCGGGTACTGTCTCTTGTCCCTGTGTGTCCCAGGATCTCAGCCATTGGAGACTCTAGGAAGCTGAGTGGGGGTACCACACGGGGATCATGTCCCTGCTCTCGAGTGGGACGGGTTGAGCAGGGCAGAGGCTCCCTCACAAAGAGGACAGCTTTCCGCATATGGATCGAATTATAGTCACTGCGGTGACCCGGCCAACTGTCCCGCGTTGCTGCTGTACCAGCGCGCATAGTTCCCGAGCTCTCTTGCTCCTATCGGATCCTGTTCCTAGTTCCAGTCTGGAGTGGGAAAGGAAGGTCCTGGGGTCTCCTCGCCTGGCCTGGCGCGGTGTGGAAACGGGCGATCCCCAAGGTGTGCGCAGCTACTCCCCCATTTCCAGCCCAGACCTGAGCTCCCAGGGGGAGAGACTGGGCAGCGCCCAGATTCCTGCTTTTAACAATGGAGACCACTGTCCTCCAGCCGCTGGGCTCCGCCTGCCCCTCTGGAGCTGAATGACCAGCTGGCCTCCTCTCAACAAGCCTCCAGGGCAGAATTCTATTCTCTTGATGAATAAAAAGCCAAGCCCAGAGAGGTTGAGTGACCGTATCAAGGTCGCCCAGTACAAAAGACCGGTAGCCTGGGGGAGATCCTAGTTCTGTGCTTCTTCTTTCTCTGGTGTAGGAAAGAGGAAACCCTTAGCCTTCTGAGATCGCAAGGTGTCTTGTGGGAGTAAGTGGGGGACATAGACTCTCCCACTTCAGCGAAGTTTAATTCTGGCCCTAAGTTTAGATCGCTTATTGGGTTTGTGTGAAAGAGCAATGCTTAGAAATGACTCGGAGGGGGCCTCAGAGTGCGGGCAAAAGTTATCCCCTCCCAGGGGCTGCAGCCTAAGACCGGCCCTGGCTGGCTGGCTGGCCGGCTCTCAGCCTCCTTCCTTCCTCTTGACAGGAAATGACTTTCTTTCCCTTTGTTCCCACTTTCTCCGCTTACCCAACTGGATCTGGGTGTCTGATTTGCCCTCCGGGGGAGGAAGGATGGGGGTGGTGGGTCTGCTGGGAAGTTGTCATACAATGCTCCCCCAACCCCCACCCCCGCCTGGGTGAACTCTGGGGCAGTGGGGCCAAAGGGAAGCGCCAGCAGGCTCTCCTTATGAGACCGGACAGGGCTTTAAAAATCCCCAGCGCTGCTCCATCCCCGAGGTCCCCACCGCTGCATGACAACGTAAAGGGCGAGTATGGCTGCCCAGCTGCGAACATCTGGCCTCCACGCTGGATGTTTCCGAGAAAGCAGGCAGAACGGAATGGGGGTCAGAGTAGGGGGAAAGGAGGTGGAGGAGGGTTCCTGAAGAGCCACAGCTTGTCTTTGAGGACCCGCCTAGAACGTGTTGACCGCAAGAAACTGGTTTGGATTGGGCTATTTGGGAGAAGGGGTGGAGCTTGGAGTGGGGGAGGAGGCTTGTATGGTCCAGGGAAGAAAAAGTCCGAGGATGCCCCAGGACTTTCAGGTTGCTGGATTCTCTGAAAGGATTCCAAGCCTGAAAGGATTCCAAGCCTGTCGGAGGGCCAAGGAAAATCCACTTGAACTCTTGTTAGGACCGCGTGACAGAGGCTCCCTACAGCTGAGGTTTGAAGTCCGAGCTTTTGGCTTTATAAATGTCAGTGGAATTGAGATAGGGTCTAACTATGTTACCCAGACTGGGTTTGAACTCATGATCTTCCCGTCACAGGTTTCCTGAGTGCTGAGATTACAGTTACAAGTATGTGTTACAGTTCTTGTTGTTGTTTGTTTGTTTGTTTTTGGCTAGTCTGGGATTTGCTATGTAGACCAGGCTGGCCTTGAACTCAGAAGAGATCTGCTTGCTCTTCTGCCTCTGAGTGCTAGGATTAAAAGTATGAGCCATAATTCCTGGTGATATGTGTGTGTGTATACACATACATACAATTTTTTTTTTCGAGACAGGGTTTCTCTGTGTAGCCCTGTCTGCCCTGGAACTCACTCTGTAGACCAGGCTGGCCTCGAACTCAGAAATCCACCTGCCTCTGCCTCCCAAGTGCTGGGATTAAAGGCATGCGCCACCACTGCCTGGCAAGAGCCCACCACTGCCCGGCTTACCCTTTTGGAAAACAGGGTTTCTCTATGTAGCCCTGGCTATTCTGGAAATCACTATGTAGTCTAGGCTGGCCTCCAACTTACAGAGATCCCCCTGCCTCCTGCCTGTGGCATGTTTAGGATTAAAAGCATGTGCCCCAGTGCCTGACGCCCCCAGAGCTATTTTCTTGGTGTTTGTCGATGTCAACCCACAAGAGGACCCAAGGAGGCCGATGGACCTTGAGAATGAGGCAGAGCTGTGAGTGACCGTGTGGGATCCACATCCCACTAGGGTCCCTGAGTCTGTCACCCCTCCCCACTGTCCAACCCCACTGCTTGAGACTATCCATCTACCTCCCCAAGCATCCGTGACTGGGCTTCAGGGTCGAGTCATGGTTGCCCACACAGAGCCAGAACGGGAGATAAGAGGCACATTTTTAGCCAGGGAACTATGATTGAGTGCCAGGGAGGACTTTGGTGCTATGCAGCCAGTTCACCCACAGTGACCCTCCTAAGCCTCCACCTCAGAGGCTGCTATCTGCAGGAGCTGCCTGTCCTTCCCAACATGAGGGTGCTTCCTCTGCCCAGATCCGTGCTTCAGCCCGTGCACTGTGAGCTCTGGCTCTTGATTCAGACCTCTGAAGGTAGGCAAGGTGACCTGAGGGTTTCAGACACATGCATAAAGAGCCAGCAGGTCCTAGGATGAGCTATCCCCGACATGAGGAAGCAAACATCGCCCCAGGGTGGGAGTCAGGGGACACTTCCGTGGATGAGGTGAGGTTTGAACTGGGCCCTTGAAAGAGCTAAAATTAACCCTGTAGGGACATCCTCCAACAGAGAAAGGCTCGAAAGAAAGGGCTAAGGTGGTTAAAAGAAGTTGAGGTGGGCTGGGGGTGTGGCTCTGTGGTAGAGCATGTCTGTACGGCATGTACTACGCAAGACCCTGAGTCCCATCCCCAAATCAGAGAGATGGGTGGGATTGAGAGAGGGTGAGGTCACAGAACTTTAGAGTTTATTCCTCTGAGATAACAGGGATCCTTTAAAACTTTTATTATTTGTGTGTGTGTGTGTGTAAGAGACAGGGTTTCTTTGGTTAGCCCTGGCTGTCTTGGAACTCCCTCTGTAGACTAGGCTAGCCTTGAACTCAGGTCTGCCTGCTTCTGCCTCCCTCTGCTGGGATTAAAGGGTGCACTACCACCACCTAGTCTTCTTCTTCATTTTTTTTAAAAGATTTATTTTACGTACATAAGTACACCTTGGCTGTCCTCAGACACACCAGAAAAGAACATTGGATCCCATTATAGATGGTTGTGAGTCACCATGTGAGAATTGAGCTCAGGACCTCTGGAAGAGCAGTCAGTGTTCTTAACCTCTGAGCCGTCTCTCCAGCCCTCCCACCCAGTCTTTTTTTTTTTTTTTTCGAGACAGGGTTTCTCTGTGTAGTCCTGGCTGTCCTGGAACTCACTCTGTAGACCAGGCTGGCCTCGAACTCAGAAATCTGCCTGCCTCTGCCTCCCAAGTGCTGGGATTAAAGCCGTGCGCCACCACAGCCCAGCCCTCCCACTCAGTCTTAAAAAGCTTTTAAGCAGGAGAGAAACAATCAGATTTATGCTCTGGAAGGATGAAGGTTAGTTAGGAGGTAGGATAGGAGGTCTTCCAGCTCCCCACAGCCACCACACACACACACACACACACACACACACACAGAGACACACACAGACACACACACACAGACACACACACACACAGACACACACACAGAGACACACACACAGAGACACACACACAGACAGACATACACACACATACACACACACACACACACACACAGACACACACACACACAGAGACACACACACAGACATACACACACACACACAGACACACAGACATACAGACACACACACACACAGAGACACACAGACACACACAGAGACACACACACACACAGACACACACACACACACAGACACACACACAGTGTCAAGGATGTGACAGTTTGGGACTGGATGGAATGGGCAGAAGAGAAGAGAGCGGTCAAGGGACTTGACTTCTCGCATCGGTTTCCTCGCTGACTGAAATACGATGATGTGTCGTCGGGTGCTCCGGGCTGCGTGGGGACAGAGTACATCCTGTCCTCTCCTCATCCAGCCACTCTTACGATCCTGTTTTCTTCCAGTGGAGCTGGCCTGAACTTTGGACCTTGTCTTCCAGTAGGAAATCAGTATCTCAGGTGAGGGAGGGGCTGTGGGCGGGTATCAGGGCCTGCGCCTGTGAGCTGCCTGGGCTGTCAGGGAAGACATCTGACTCCTGCAGGGCTGTCCAGTGCTCTGGAGCACGTGGCCTTCAGAGTGTCTGGGCCCCTGTGACCTGGCTACCTGGCTTATCTGAAGGCCACCCGCTGTCCCTCCTGTTTCCTCCTCTTGCCTTCTCTGCTCACTGTGCAACCCAAGCTGGCCCAGACCACACCATTCTCCTGCCTCAGTCCCCTCTCTGGTGAGGCCGAGTGTTTAGACTGGGCCTACCAGTACAGTGAGGCTGTCTTGTGGGAGAAGGGAGACTCTGAACAAGCTCTTAGGTGGCCAGAGGGGTACCCCATGACAACCTGAACCCCTCTCTCCCCAGCCCCAGCAGGAGCCGATCATGGCCTCCAAGCCTGAGAAGCGGGTGGCCTCTTCTGTCTTTATCACCCTGGCACCTCCACGCCGAGACGTAGCAGTGACTGAGGAAGCGAGCCAGGCAGCTTGTGAAGCCCGACGTGCTCGGCCATGGGAGACCCTTCCCACAAAGACACCTGGGGCTGCAGTGGGCAGGAGCCCCAAGACCTGGATGCCCTCTGGCAGGAGCAATGCCTCACTCCCTGAAGCCCAACCTCAGCTCTCCAATGGAGGTAAGAGAGTGTCCCTCCCTAATGCCAGGCGGTGGTGGTGCACGCCTTTAATCCCAGCACTTGAGAGGCAGAGGCAGGTGGATTTCTGAGTTCCAGGCCAGCCTGGTCTACAGAGTGAGTTCCAGGGCAGCCAGGGCTACACAGAGAAACTCTGTCTCGAAAAACCAAAAAAAAAAAAAAAAAAAAAGAATTGACAAAAATATACCAAATGTCAAAAGAGAGAGGATCACAATGGAGCCTGGTGCCATCAAGGTGGAGAAGTGACTCCTCTTGCAGCTCCTTGAGGCAGCTCCTCTGAGGCCTCTGCTGGATGGGGGGCATGGAAACGTGCAAAGACCGAGGTCAACATGGGTTCAAAGGGTCTGGAAGACTCTGAAGACGTTGCTGCTGGCCTGCTGTGAGATTTATTTCCTGCTGTGCTACAGGGCAGGGAGCTCAGTGCACAGCGTGTCTGTGTGTCTGTGATTTATCTCCTTCCGGTCCCCATTTGGGGCCTGGGGATTGAACTTGGGTCACCAGACTTGGTAGAAAATGTCTTTCCCCACTGGACCATCTTATTAGCTCTGGGATTGATTTTTCATTTAATTAAATTAATTAATTAATTAATTTTTTATTTCTTGGTTTTTTGAGACAGGGTTTCTCTGTGTAGCCCTGGCTGTCCTGGAACTCACTCTGTAGACCAGGCTGACCTCAGAACTCAGAAATCCGCCTGCCTCTGCCTCCCAAGTGCTGGGATTAAAGGCGTGAGCCACCACTGCCCGGCTCAATTTAATTTATTTATAATGTGTGTATGTGTGTGTGTGACACATATTATATTAGTAAAGATTTCTATTGCTGTGAGAAATACCACAGACACAGCAACTCTTATAAAGGAAAGCATTTAACTGGGTCTGGCTTACAGGTTCAGAGGTTCAGTCTGTTATTGTCATGACAGGAAGCGTGGCGGTGTGCAGGCAGGTATGGTGCTGGGGAAAGAAGCTGAGAGTTCTACATGGGGATTGGCAGGCGGCAGGAAGACAGAGTAAGCTGCTGGACCTGGCTTGAGCTTCTGAAACCTCAAAGCCTTCCCCCAGTGACACACTCCCTCCAACAAGGCAACACCTAATAGTGTCACTCCCTTTGAGCCTATGGGGGCCATTTGCATTCAAACCGCCACACATATGGGTGAGAGGCCAACTCAACCAAGGCAGGGAAAAGAGACAGAAAAGCGTCCGGGGACTCGGGGAGCAAACTCTAGCTGTCAGGCTTGGCAACAAGTCCCTTCACCCACTGAACCACCTTCTCTCCCCGCTTACATTCTTGCTGACCCCCTCAGATCATGGTCCCAGGAGCGAGACATAGCTGGGAGAGGATACAGCTTGTGAGGCCTCGGAGAGCTCAGGTCCTGACTCAGGAGCACGGCTCCCAGGTTCCCACACTCCCATCAGCCCATCAATCACACCGTAGTCACCTCTGGGCTTGTTCCAACACAGCTAGCTGGGCCCCACCTCAAAGCTGAAGTCGAAACTTTAATTTGCATTTTTCCTACCTTTCTGGGAAGTAATTACACTTTGTGAATCTCTCTCTCTTTCTTTTTTTTTTTTTTTTTTTTTAAGATTTATTTATTTATTTTTTATGTATTCAGCATTGCTCTCTTCAGACACATCAGAAGAAGGCATCAGAGCCCATTAAAGATGGTTGTGAGCCACCATGTGGTTGCTGGGACTTGAACTCAGGACCTCTGGAAGAGCAGTCAGTGCTCTTAACCACTGAGCCATCTCTCCAGCCCTCTCTTTCTTTTTTTTAACTAACTTTTTTTTTCAAGGCAGGATTTCTCTGTGTGATAACTCTGGCTGTCCCGGAACTCAGTCTGTAGACCAGGCTAGTCTCAAACTAGCCTGCCTCTGGCTCCTGAATTCTAGGGTTAAAGGCACATACCACCACCGTTCAGCATCTTTTAATTAACTTCTTCTCTCCTCTCATCCTTTTCCAGTCTCTGGATTGAATCCAAGGCTCCTGAGCCGTACTACACCTCCTCAGCCGTATCCCAGGCTGGTACTGTAGCTCAGCTGCACCCCTGGCCTGTCCAGTCTGAAGCTCTTGTTTTGATCCCCAGACCACAAAACCAAAAAACAAACAAAAACTATTTTTCTTTCAAAGCATTCCTTTGCTTTTATATTTATTTTATTTTTACTGTTATGTACATGTGTCCTGTATGTGTGTGCTCACGTGAGTGCAGGCGCTCATGGAGGGCAGAGGTGGGCCCCTCTGGAGCTGCAGTTACGGCTGGCTGTTTGTGAGCCTCTTGGGAAACTGAGTTTGGGTCCTCTGCAACAGCAGTACTCACTAACCACCGAGCCACCCCACCAGCCCCAGATTTAGTTTATTTTTATTTGTGTATACCTGTGTCACGTGGGTTGCAGCTATATGTGGGTTTGTGCAAACGTGAGTGCAGTACCCCCAGGGGCCAGAGGAGGGCGCAGGATCCCCTGGAGCTGAAGTGATTGTGAGCTGCCTGACATGGTGCTGGGAGTTGAACTCAGGTCCTCTGTAAGAGCAGTAAGCACTCTACGGTTCTTAACTGCTGAGCCTTCTCTCCAGTCCTCCAGCCCCCATTTTTAAAATTAATTTTTGATTACATTTATATATTGTATGTGTGTGGTAGCATTTGTATGTGGGGGTCTGAGGACAGCTTGTAGGAGTCAATTCTCTCCGCCATGTAGGCCCTGAGAATGGAACTCAGGCCCTCAGACTTGGCAGCAAGCCCCTTCACCCACTGAACCACCTTACTAGCCCCACAAAATACAATTTTTTCGACCCACAGTAATTGTACATGTTTATGTGATACAGTGTCTTGTATGGCTTGTGGGCAGCATATCATCTTCAGGTCAGGGTAATTAGCATATCCATTGCCCCAGATGCTTAGGTTCTTTGTGGTGGGACCATTCAGAATCCTGTTAACTGTTTTGAAATATCCAATTGTGTAGCGGGAGATATTAGAAATGAAATGTCCGGCTGGCTCCTTAGCCACCGACTTCCCGCAGTAATGCTGGCTACCGCCTGCGGGCTGCCTGGCCCCAGCCGGGCGTCCTCATCTCAGTAGGCTCTCCAGATGGGCCGGAGCTCCTGAGCTGGTTCCACCGGGCTGTTCTCTCTAGCTTGCCCCCATAACAACAGGTCGCTGTGTTTCCAGCTCCGGTTCGCTCATCCCTGGAGCCTCTAATTCCTTCACAGCCATAACTACCCGGTTGTCGGTGGACCCACCTTCCAGTAACCCAGTAAATAAAAACTCTAGATGCTTAAAGTTAACCAATGGAATTTATATATATCAATAAAATCTCAATACACAAGATGCCCACACAGATTAGAAAGTGATCCCATTATTCCTAACCTTTAGATTTCACATCTTCCTATTTACTTGAATCATGTGGGTCTACGTCCACTGCCATTTCAACTTTTGCGTCTCTGTCTCTCTGCCACCCATAGACCCGCCTCCCTTTTTCCTGTCCAATCATAGGCTTCCCGCTGGAACTAGATTGGGCAGGGAAATTTCTGCCACACGATTGAATGTTGTCAACTGCAGTAGAAGCTTTTTCTCCTGGGTATGGTGGTACAGACCTGTCATCCCAGCACTCAGGAGGCCGAGGATGGAGGACTGAGAGGGAGCTTGAGGCTAGTCTGGGCAACATGGTGAGGACCAGTCAGAAAGGGGAGACGGGAGGAGAATTGAGCGTTTCTTGCATGCTGTTAGTGCTTTGCCTGGTAGGTGAGACTTCCGGCCTGACAGTGATCTAAGTCTGGTCCTAGACCAGCAGTGGGGAAATCACCAGAAGCTGGCGGTTTGTACAAGCTCCCCCCAGGCTCCCATGATTCTGCGACTCAGTTTAGTCAGGGACCACTGTCTAGAACACACATCTGTCTGTAAGGTCCCCTCAGCTCTGGGGAGGCGTGGGGGGTAAGGATGGCAGCGGGGTGGGCTAGGAAACCTGACTCCAGAAAAGTGAGGAGAGGCCTGACACTAGAGCCCAGGTTTTCTGACTCTGGGAAATCTAGAACCTTCTTTGCTTTGCCTTTGTCCTTCTCTGGACATTATCACCCCCCCCCCACACACACACACCTTTGTCTATGTGTACATATGTGCACACAGATACACACATGCCACAGGTTGGAGGGCAACTCAGAGGAGCCTGTTCTCCTCTTCCATTCTTTGGGTCCTAAAGATCGAATTAAAGTCAGGTTGTCAGGCAAGTCCTTTTACCCACTAAGCTTCCCATCCTCTCCCTCATCTTCCTCTTTCATTTGATTGTTGGAAAGGTTCATAATATATAGACCAAGCTGGCCTGGAACTCACAGAGAGCCACCTGCTCTGCATCCGATGCTCTGGGACTAAAAAGACCCGTGCCAGCATGCTGGCCTCACTGGGACACTATTAGCAGTACTTGTCCTGTACCTGATGGGGACAGAATTCATCATAGTTCCTTCCTGAGACACCTTGTACCCTGGCCCCACCCCTACCTTGTCACCTCCTCTAAGGAAGGTGACACCCTACTGACTGCAGGGTCACAGTAGTGAACTTGGTAGTGACAGTGGACCCTGAACAGTAGGAGACAGCTATGGCCATGGTGGCCAGCCCTCCCCCTCCCCTCATCCCTCAGGAACACAGAAGCCTGTGCTCAACAACCAGGACCTAACTTTCCTGTCCTGGCCTCCTCCTGGTCAGCTCACCCTGGGGAGTCCACACTACCTCTGCTGGTAGGGGATGGTCCTGTGCAATGTCTGTGTGTGCTGTCTTACGGAGATGCAGCTGGGTTGGTACAGTGTGTGCTTAGCTTAACATGCATGCACACAGCCAGGCAATGGTGGCGCACACCTTTAATCCCAGCACTTGGGAGGCAGACAAGCGGATTTCTGAGTTTGAGGCCAGCCTGGGCTACAGAGTGAGTTCCAGGACAACCAGGGCTACACAGAGAAACCTTGTCTCGAAAAACCAAAAACAAACAAACAAACAAAAAACCAAAACAAACAAACAAACATGCATGCACACAGACACACGAACACAGGAACCCCCACTTACACAGGAGTAGGGAGAGCCCGTGCCTCTCCAGATCCAGTTTCAATGATCGTAAGTTTTAATGTATACCTTCCTTTCCTGACCCTTCGGCCTCATCTACTCAAATGCTGGGATTATAGGCAGGGACATGCCACCCGAGCTGCCTTCTCCTGCCTCAGCTTCCAAGTGTTGGGATTACACATGTGTAGTGCCACAATACCTAGCTTTCTTCTTTTTATAGAATGTTTATTTGTTTATTCTTTTCCTGAGAATCTTTCTCATGGGATGAATTTTGAGCTGAAAAATATTTTGTTGGGGAAAGAAAACCCACATTTTCTTCCTTATCTATATGCTGTTGTGGGCACCTAGGTTGGCTCTGCAGCTGGACCACACTGAACGCTGAGGTGCAAGTGTCTCTGGAGGCCTTTGGGCAAATTCCCAGGAGTGGTATAGCTAGGTCACGTAGAAGATCTATTGCTTTTTATTCTTGTATTCTAATTTATTTATTGTGTGTACACAGGATGGGGGAGGGGGCACATGCCCTGGGACCGTATGGAGTCTATTCTTTTACCACAGGGGTTCCAGGGATGGAACTCAGATTTGGTAGCAAGCACCTTTACCCACTGAGCCATATTACTGTCTCAACTGTTAAGTTTTTTTTGTTGTTGTTTTTAGTTTTTTATCTTAGTTTTTACTTTTTTGGTTTGTTTGGGTTTTTTTGGGGGGGGTTGGTTTTGTTTTTTGATTTTGTTTGTTTGGTTTTGGTTTGGGTTTTTTTTTTTTTGAGACAATATTTACAAACCCCTGACTATCCTGAAACTTTCTCTGTAGACCAGGCTGGCCTTGAACTCACAGAGATCCACCGGCTTCTGCCTCTGCGTGACATGATCAAAACTATACACCACTGCATTTAGCTCTTAGATTGTCTTAAAGATATGTTTATTTTTATTCCTGTATATGTGTGCTTTCCTGTATGCATGCCTAATGGCTCTGGAATTAGAATCTAGAATCCTCTGAATTACAGACAGTTGTGAGTCACCATGTGGGTGCTAGGAATCCAACCTGAGTAATTTATAAAAACAACAAGTGCTCTTAACTGATGAGCCATCTCTCCAGGCCCAACTGTTAGGGTTTTGAGAGACTCCAGGCTGACTTCCATAGTGGCTAGACTAGTTTACATCCCACCAGCGGTGTATAAGGACCCCATCAGGGAGCTGGGAATAACAGGGTCCCACTTTAATCCCAGCTTCAGGAGACAGAGACAAGTGGATCTCCGTGAGTTTGAGGCCATCCTGTCTATATAGTAAGCTCCAGGACAGTCAGGGTTATGTAGAGAGATGCTGCCCCCTCTCCCCAAAATAGGGAGGCGGGTCCCATCAGCCAGGCCCATGGCTGTCTTCTCAGCCTTGCTACAGTCTTGGCCATACAACCTTGAAGGTGCCCGTCACATCTAAGCTCTGGCCTTGGGTCAGCTGCTCAGTGTAGACAAATCATCACCTGTCCATCCCCCTGACGAGAGCCATAGGACTTGGGGCTCACTTTCTAAAACAATTTAAGATTCAAAGAGTTGATTTCCTTGCCTAAGGACCCACAGCAAGCCAGGGGCAGCATTAGGGTGGACTGGAGCCAGACCTGAACTTTTACCCACTGTTGCTTGGCCTTCTGGGTGAGTAGCTCTGCCTTGTGCCCTGTGGGGACCCTGGGCAACCCCTCTCTCTTCCTGTTGTAGGATGCTCTCCCCCACCTCCTTCCCTGAATGATGAGGACCTAGACCTCCTCCCTCCTCCTCCGCCCCCTTCTGCCTACCTGCCTCTCCCAGAAGAGGAGCCTCCTGTCTTGCCTGGGACATCACTCATTTCTGACTTGGAGCAACTGCACCTGCCTCCACCCCCACCTCCACCCCCATTACAGGTACAGGAGTGTCCCCAAGGCTCCCCCACCCATGGTGGCAGCTGGGGGTTGGGGGCCTTCCCAGCATTACCAAGGTGGAGGTGCTTTGGTTCCTTCTGCTTGAAGACAGTCTGTCTTCAAAGCCGAATTCCACAGCTGGTGGAAACTGGAATTTTCAGAGTCCCTGGTGACACGTGTCCCCCAGCCCCTTTGTTCCCTTGGGACCCTCTGCTCCAGGACGTGTTCTGGTTCTGACCGAAATCTCTACACTGCCTAAGAAGCTAATCAATTCTGCCCTTCATAGAGGGGGTTATCAATGTGAGTGGAGTGCTGGGTTAAGGTCTCTGTCACCTCCAGCCATTGTTGGTGGCTGGGACACTTCATACCCACGATGTCCTTAGAAACAGGATGGTTGCAGGACTGTAATTCCAGATACTGAGGTGGCTGAGGCAGGTTGATCATAAGACATAGCCTATCTTACAAAGTAAGTTCAGGGCCAGCCTGAGCAACTGCGTGAGACACTATCTAGAACTAAAACAAGCCAGGTGGTGGTGGTGCACGCCTTTAATCCCAGCACTTGGGAGGCAGAGGCAGGCAGATTTCTGAGTTCCAGGACAGCCAGGGCTAAACAGAGAAACCCTGTCTCGAAAAATCAAAAAAAAAAAAAAAAAAAAGAACTAAAACAAAGAAAGAAAATTCGGGGTATAGTTAGTTCAATGGTAGAGCGCTTGACTAGCCAGAATGAGAGAGTCACTTTGACAGAAAGAGCTCCAGACATGGAGCAGGGAGGTTCTGGCTCTTGCTGCATGGTAACTTTCCTGCTGAGCTATAGAAGCTGGGCACTTGCTCCTCCAGTCTCAGTTTCCTCATCTGTACAATGGGACTAATCGTACTTGGAGTGCATCCCGCCCCAGACAAAGAGTCAAGCTGGGAGGATCTAGTGGGGTCCCCACCAGCCAACCTCTTTTCTATCTCCTCATATGTATCCTCCCACCCCCAGGCTCCATCAAAGGGATCTTCTGTCCAGCCTCCACCTGGTCACGTCAGACCCTCGGAAGAGGAGCTTCCTCCTCCTCCAGAAGAGCTTGTCACTCTTCCAGAGAGAGAAGCATCCACAGGTATGGCTGTGTGCTTACTCTCTGGGTCTTCAGGGTCAGAATGGGCTTCTTGTGGGAAGTGTGGGAGAGAAGGGTTCCCCCCAACCCCCCTCACTCACATGACAGGGACTATCTATACAGTGTGTAACAGCTGAATCTCCATTGTAGCCAGGGGCTTGCTTCTGGTTTGTTGATGATGATGATTTTGAGATAGGGTCTCATGTAGTCCAGGCTAGCCTTGAATTCAGTATGTAGCCGAGGATGACCTTCTCTTTCTCCACCTGCCTTACCCCTTGAGAGCTAGGATTACAGGTGTTTGCCTCTGTGCTTGGCTCATATGGTACTGCAGATAGAAAGAAGCCAGCACTTCATCCGTACTCAATCACCCAAGCTACATTTCATTCCTTCCTCCCTCCCTTCTTTCCTTTCTGAGACAGGGTTTCCCTGTGTAGTCCTGGCTGGACCTCCCTAGTCTGTGTTTATTTGTTTTGAGGTCTCACTCTAACCAGATCTGGAGTTCAACTTGAGATCCTCCTGCCTCAGCTACCTGACTGTTACGATTGTAGGCATGGTCCTTTAAAACTTCTTTTTCTCCCCCTGCGGTGGTGGCCCAGCACTTGGAAGGCAGAGGCAAGCAGATCTCTGTGAGTTGGAGGCCAGCCTGGTCTTCACAGAGAGGTCCCAGACAGCCAGACTTAACTTGTCTTGAAACATCAAAAACAACAACAACAAAAAATATTCTTTGTCTCTCTGTGTTTCTGAGATGAGACCTTACTCCATGGCTGGTACTGGTTGACTTGGAACTCACTATGAAGCCAGGCTGGCTTCAAAGTTGTGGCAATCCTACTGCCTCAGGCTCAATGCTAGGATTGCAGATGTGAGCCACTATGCCTAGCTTGCTTTTTAAATTCCTTTTTTGTTGGTGGGGGTGGGGTGAGGGATGTAGCAAAAAGGCTAAGGGGGTAAAGGCACTTGTCACCAAGACTAGTGACTTCACTTCTGTCCATAAGTCCGTGTGGTGGGGCAGACTCTCAGAGGTTGTTCCCCTGATCTCTGCTCAAGACACACACACAACCAATCAATAAATAAAAATTAAGGGTTTTTTGTTATTTTCTCATTGTTTATTTTGTACCAGGGTGTATGATGCAGGAGTATTAGAAGTTTGAGTTCATCCTTAGCTCTGTAGTAAGTTGGGAGCTAAACCTGGGCTAAAAAAGACTTTGTCTTTTTATTATTATTATTATCAAAGATGTATTTATTTTATGTATGTGAGTACACTGTGACTGTCTTCAGACACACCAGAAGAGGGCATCGGATTCCATTATAGATGGTTGTGTGCCACCATGTGGTTGCTGGGAATTGAACTCAGCAGCTCTGGAAGAGCAGTCAGTGCTCTTATCCTCTGAGCCACTTCTCCAGCCCAAGACTTTGTCTTAAAAATAAAAAAATAATGAAAAAAATCAAGCCACCCAAGCACATGTGGCACATGGTGGCACGTGCCTTTAGTCCTAGCACTTGTGAGACAATGACAGGAGGGTCTCTGAGTCGCCTATATAGCTTTATATAGCCAGCCTGGTCTGTAGAAAAAGTTCTGTGTCACCTAGAGGCTACATAGTGATACCTTATTTCTTCCTCTCTACCACGGTACACACACACACACACACACACACACACAAATAAACACAGTTTCTGCTTTTGTCTTTTAAGCTTTGGGGCAGTTCTTCATTGCTGTTTTCCCCAGCGTTTCCCATCAGTATCTGCTGTGGCTCCTAGCCCCACCCCCCTTTTTAAAGACTGTGTGGCAGTCTTCAGTAGGAACATAAGCCTGTAAGCCTGATGGGTTACAAAGCCGCCTCCTGATGGATTTGTAGACGGTTTCTTACCGTAAATGCACAGAGCTGAGTCACCTTACCAGGTTATTTCACTGTGTAGGGGGCTCTCTGGGGTAAATTCCTAGAAGAGGAAGTAACCTATAAAAAGGTTGATGTTTTAAGTTTTGTATTTTTGTCAAATCACCTTCCTTAGTCATCCCAGCCCACGGGCACCCACCAGCACGTTCCAGCTGTTTTCTAGAAGCCTCTACAGCTCTGTGTGCCTTGTTTAATTTAGCCAGGAAGTGCTTACTCAGAGCCTTGCCCCAGGCACCGAAGACACAGTTGAGTCAAGTGACCTCCTTCCTGGAGCCCGGAGACAGAAGGCAAATGTTTTTCTAAGTTTGTTATTTATCTTTAGACTTAAGGTAGATTGTAGCTATCTTTTTGCTACTTTGTGACTTCTTTCTTCCACCCTTTCAACCCCCTAACGCTAGATAGGAGAGAGGAAAGGATACTGGGGAAAAAGAAGAACTCTCGCTGGGCGGTGGTGGCGCATGCCTTTAATCTCAGCACTTGGGAGGCAGAGGCAGGTGGATTTCTGAGTTTGAGAGTTCAAGGCCAGCCTGGTCTACGGAGTGAGTTCCAGGACAGCCAGGGCTACACAGAGAAACCCAGTCTCGAAAAACAAAAAATCTTTTTTTTTAAATGTATTCATTTAATGTATATGAGTACACTGTAGCTCTCTTCAGACACCCCAGAAGAGGGCATCAGTTCCTATTACAGATGGTTGTGAGCCACCATGTGGTTGCTAGGAATTGAACTCAGGACCTCTGGAAGAGCAGTCAGTGCTCTTAACCGCTGAGCCATCTCTCCAGACCTAAAATAAATCTTAAAACAAACAAACAAACAACCACCACCGCCACCACCACCACCAAAAAAAAAAAAAAAAAAAAAAAAAAAAAAAAAAAGTCCTAAGAGGTTCTGATGCTAGGTGTGGTGGCTCACCCTGTTATCCTAGCACTCTAAAGGCTGATGCAGGAGGACAGAGTTCCAGGCTAGCCTGGGCTATACTTTACAATGCCAACTCTGCTTTCTTTTCTCTCTCCCCCTGCCAACACCCCCCTCCCCGTCTTGCTCTGTAGACCAGGCTAGCCTGGAATTATAGACATCGCTAGCTGTACATAGAGGCTAGCAGGTCTCCCTCTCACTAAGTTTGAGGCCAGCCTGCTGTAACTGGTGAGTTCCAGGACACCCAAGGATACATAGTGACACCCTGCTCTGAAAATAACAAAAAAAAATAAAATAAAAGGTGTGTACCGGACCCAATACTGTGTCTTTGAGTTTAGCTTCCCAAAGGTCCACCCTCCTTCCTGATGCCTCTATCATAATAAACAAACCCTCTTCATTTGTCAGTTGAGGAAGTTTCTGAGGCTGGGCCCTGGACACACTGGGGCATCATATTCTGGGTGGTGATTGGGTCCTGCCTTCCTGGGCTGCTGACAGTCTGTGTCTCCCTACCCCAGATGTCTGTGGTTTCTGTCACAAGCCTGTGTCCCCTCGAGAACTGGCTGTGGAGGCCATGAAGAGGCAGTATCATGCCCAGTGCTTCACCTGTCGTACCTGCCGCCGCCAGTTGGCTGGGCAGAGATTCTACCAGAAGGATGGGCGCCCCCTGTGCGAACCCTGCTACCAGGTACTCCCCTGCAGGTAGCCCCCAGGTTGCACCCACTGAGCACAGAGCTTTGGATCCCTTACGGATCTCTTAAGAGACTGGACACCATGAGCCCATTTCACAGCAGAGGAAGCTGAGACTCAGAAAAGAGAAAACTCAAGCCGGCAGGGTTAAGTTCCTGTGATTGCTGTACCACAATACCATGGATCACTATTGGGTCTCACCTCCTAAGGGCTCCCCTACCTCCCAACAGTGCCCCCTGGAGCCCAGGCCTCATGGGCTGATGGAGAGCATTCAAAACAACCGAACCACAGTTTGGTGCCTTCAAACAATTCAGAGTTCTTTCTCGTTGTTATGGAGGCTGTCAGTTCAAAAATCAATTACCTTGGACTCAAATCAAGATGCCGCCTCTTCTTGCTCTTCAGGCTCTAGAGGAGCTGGCATTTGCTTGCCTTTTTAGTTTTGGTTGGTTGGGTTGGGTTTGGTTTTGTAGGTTTCTCTGTGTAATAACCCTGGCTGTCCTGGAACTCTCTCTGTAGACCAGGCTGGCCTGAAACTCACAGAGATTCACCTGCCACTGCCTCCCAGGTGCTGGGATTAGAGGCAAGTGCCACCACACCAGGCCTCTTTTGGGGGGTTTTGAGACTGAAACAGAGGGAAGGGTGAGCTTGAACTCCTGACCTTTTCTCCTCCACTTTTGAGGAATGAGCCAGCTATGATGGTGTCCATGTGTTCCCAGCATTCAGAAAGCTGAGGCAGGAGGATGAAGAGTTTCAGGATCCTGGGTTATAGAGGCAGACCCTGCCCAAAACAATAAGCAAAAGAATTTGGATACCATTCATCTGTAGTGTTGAACACAGAAGGGTTTGTTAAGGGGGCTGGGTATGATAGCACATGCCTGAAATCTAAACACTTGTGGGTAGAGGCAGAAGATTCAGGAGTTCAAAGTCATATCTAACTCTGTAGTCTAACCTGGGCTACATGACACACTGTCTCAAAACTAGCCAAAAAAAAAAAAGTGTGTGTTTGTGTATCTGTGTGTGTGTGTCTTTGTGTGTCTGTGTGTGTGTATCTGTCTGTGTGTGTCTGTGTCTGTGTATGTCTGTGTATCTGTCTGCGTGTGTCTGTGTGTGTGTGTCTATGTGTGTATGTGTGTGTGTGTGTATCTATGTATGTGTGTCTGTGTGTGTGTATCTGTGTGTGTGTGTGTGAAAATTTTGTTGAGATAGTCCCAGGCTGAGCACATACTTCAGTCAGGGTTCTTACTTGACACACAAAAGGCCTTGATTTCAGTCCCTAGTACTGAAGTTCTGAAGAAAGAAAGGAGGGAGGGAGAGAGGGAGAGTGATGGAGGGAGGGAAGAACGATAGAAAGATAAAGACAGAGAGGGCTGGCAACACCTCCTGGTTCAGGCATGTTTGCGGGTGGGCCAAAACCGAGGCTCTCTGCCCCAGGATACCCTGGAGAAGTGCGGCAAGTGTGGGAAAGTGGTCCAAGAGGAGATCATCCGGGCCCTGGGCAAGGCCTTCCACCCGCCCTGCTTCACCTGCGTGACCTGTGCCCGCTGCATCAGCGACGAGAGCTTCGCGCTGGACAGCCAGAACCAGGTGTACTGCGTGGCTGACTTCTACAGGTAGGAAGGAGGCTGTGGGGCTGGGGGACTGGGGAAGGCAGGGCCAGGCTCTGACAGGGTGGCACGACCAGCCCAGTACTTTCTATAGCTCCTGTGCTGACAGAAGCCTGATAGCTTCCCCACCTAATTCACATGGCATCTGCCAGAGGCATCGAGTCCCAGAGCTCTGATAGACTCCTCATCTGAGGTACTCCATGAGAGCCTCAGACTTACTTTCTTTCTTTGTGTAACAGCCCTGGCTGTCCTGGAACTCTGTAGACCAGGGTAGCCTCGAACTCACAGAGATCTGCCTCGCAGAGTCTCCTGAGGGCTGCCACCACACGCGCCTTAATCGTCAGACTTTTTATGGCTAGGGAGTACAGTGAAGGAGTACATTTTAGCAGAAGTAGAAACTGAGGCACACAGTTCCCAACGTGGAACGAAGCTTCCATTTAAGGAGACAATTTGGGAGCTGGGTAGTGGCTCAGTTGGTGGAGTGTCTGCTAGCGTGTACAGCGTTTTCTTTCCAACACCACACAGCCATGCTGTGCTGAAACCCACCCGTAATCCCAGCATTCCAGAGGATCAGGAGCTTAAGCTTATCCTTGGCTACCCTAGCAAGTTCAAGGCCAGCCTAGGCTATATGAGACCCTGTCTCAAGAAAAATTACAGAGCCTGGGGAGATGGCTCAGGGGTTCAGAGCAATGGCTGCTCTTCCAGAGGACCTGGGTTCAGTTCCCAGCACCCATCTGACAGCTCACAACTGTCTGTAACTCCAGTTCCAGAGGATCTGATACCCACACACAGACACTCATGCAAGCAGAACACCAGTGTCCGTGAAATAAATCAAAATATAAAAACTTTTAAAAAACAACATTTATAGAAAAAATAAAAACGACTTGATTTGGGACCTTTTTTCCAGACCCTAGACCATGTCCCCTGGGAAGTAAGGGAGGGAGGAGTGGGGAGATATACATATACATACATATGCATATATGTGTGTATACATATACGTGTGTATACATGTATGTACAAATATACATGTGTATATACATTTACATATACGTGTGTATACATGTATGTATAAATATACATGTGTATATACATTTACATATACATATGGACATATAAGGGAGACTACTCATGCTTTGCCCCTGTTTGAACTCAAGATGGAGTTAGGAGGACACTGCTGCACATGTCTGGTCAACCTAGGCTAGAAAGTCCTGTCTTGAAAGATAAGCAAACAGCAACACTTGGAAGGCAGAGGCAGGGCGAGCTCTGTGAATCCCGGGCCAGCCTGCTCTACGTGACAAGTTCCAGGCTAGCCATTGCTACACAGTGAGACTCTGCCTCAAGAACAGGTAAACAAAAAAATACGCAAACAGGGCTGCCAAGATGGCTCAGTGGATAAAGTTGCTTGCCACCAAGCCTGATGCCGAGAGTTCAATCCCTGGGACCCACAAGGTGGAAGGAGAGAACTGACTCCTGCATGTTGTCTTTGACCTCCAAAGACAACTAAATAAATATGCTAAAAGTTTTTTTTTAATTTTTTTTTAATTAAGCAAAGTACAAGATGACCTGCCACACTCTTCTCAGTTCCAAATTCACACTGGGAAGCCGGATTCATGGCACTGACTCCTCCTCCTAGACATCATTGGCTGCCGCAGATGCGGTCACCTAGCAACCTCGAGGGCGGACGCACGGGGTGGGGGGTGTTGAGGGGTTGACCTGCAGCCTCCAAAACCTTCGGCCAGCTGATTCCTTTGTTAGCGTGAGTAGCTGACTTTACTGGCCTGTGCTTCCCCTCCTTCTAGGAAATTTGCCCCTGTGTGCAGCATCTGTGAGAATCCCATCATCCCCCGAGACGGGAAGGATGCCTTCAAAATCGAGTGCATGGGAAGGAATTTCCACGAAAACTGTTACCGTTGTGAGGTGAGTGGAGCTGAGGTGGTTACGTGCTGGGGCCATGGGCAGCCTTCTCTCTCCTGCTCACTGCCTGCAGCAGAGGCTGGGAAAAGTGGAGATAAAAACATACGTGGCCAGCCGGGCCATGATGGCGTACGCCTTTAATCCCAGTACTCCAGAGGCAGAGGCAGTCAGAGCTCTGAGTTCGAGGCCAGCCTGGTCTATAGAAGCAGGTCCAGGGACAGCCACACAGAGAAATCAACCCTGTCTCAGAAAACAAAAACAAACCGACCACACTTGGCTATGTATCAGAGTTTACTGTGTGCTCACATCTCTTACTGTGTGCCAGTATGGTGGGTGGTGACCACATCGGTGGCAAATGATAGCCTCGGGCTATCACTCTACCTCCGGGTCCTTCCTTTACTTTCTTTTCTGAATACTGACACAGCACATGAGCACAGACGGCTCAGGTTTACATCCTTAGAAGCCCCAAGAGACTGAGAGTAGATCCCATTGTGGGAGGGGCATACTGCCCCAAGAAGGTTCCTGGTTGGCCTGACATGCTGTCTGTTGCTATGATAAGTACCATAATCAATAGCAGATTGGTTGCTGGGTAGTGGTGGCGCAGGCCTTTAATCCCAGCATTTGGAGGCAGAGGCAGGCGGATTTCTGAGTTCGAGGCCAGCTTGGTCTACAGAGTGAGTTCCAGGACAGCCAGGACTACTCAGAGAAATCCTGTCTCAAAAAAACAAAACAAAACAAAAAACAAACAAAAAAAATAGCAGATTGGTTGAGGAAAAAATCCATCGTTAAGGGAAATCAAAGCAGGAACCTGGAGCAGAAACTATGGAAGAAGAATACCGCTTACTGGCCCCTCTCTGTCTGACATCTGTTCAGGAAGATTTCTTATACAGCCCAGGGTCCCCTGCCTCAGGATGACACTGCCTGCAGGAAGCCGGGCTCTCCTACATAAACTAGCAATCAAGAGCCCATCCCCACAGACATACCACGGGCTGATCTGATCTGAGCAGCCCCCCAGTTGTGATTTATGGATAGATAACTCTGAGTTGTGTCAAGTTAGCATCTGAAGCTAACGTATCTTCTGAGCCTATCACAGGGGCTGGGAAGGTGGGGAGGTAGGGAAAGGGGATACAGAGGAGGTTGGGGGGCAACCCACTGTTAGAGGAGCAACTCTGAAGACTCAGAAAATGGAAGGTTCTAGGTGTGTCTGGGTGCAGAATGCCTAAGGGGGGGACAAAATGATAGGACCAGGAAGGGGAGGGTCTGGTGAGCGCTTCAGCCTGTGGGAAGGAACCGGCTGGGCTGCGATGGGAGGCTGCTTAGAACTGGTATAGGAAATGCTGGACAGTGCCGGCAAAGGGACCTGTGATCAGAAGGGGGTGGCCATGACTACAACTTTTTTGTTTGTTTGTTTTGTTTTGTTTTGCTTTTTCCAGACAGGGTTTCTCCATATAGCCTTGGCTGTCCTGGAACACACTCTGTAGACCAGGATGGCCTCGAACTCAGAAATCCACCTGCCTCTGCCTCCCAAGTGCTGGGATTAAAGGCGTGCACCACCACTGCCCAGCTAAAAGATTTATTTATTTTATGTATATGAATACACTGTAGCTGTCTTCAGACACTCTAGAAGAGGGCATTGGATTTCATTACAGATGGTTGTGAGCCACCATGTGGTTGCTGGGAATTGAACTCAGGACCTTTAGGAAGACCAGTCAGTGCTCTTAACCGCTGAGCCATCTCTCCAGCCAACTTTTTTTCTTCAAGGCAGGGTTTCTCTGTGTAACCTTGGCTGTCCTGGAACTCACTTGGCTGGCCTTGAGCTCACAGAGATCTGCCTGCCTCTGCCTCCCAAGCTCTGGGATTAAAGATGTATGCTGCCACCAGGATCCAGCCATTTTGAAGTTCTTAATCTCAGGACTGTATTCTTTCCTTCTGCCTGAACCCTGCAGGTGTTGTAGTTGGTCCAGCAGTAGGGGTCCAAGAAACCCCTCACTCTCTCCCTCCATTCCCTCCCCCACTCCAGCCCTGTAGCTCTACGCTTTCTATGCTCTGGTGATAAAGACACAAGTGGTAGTTCTTCTGTGTTATCACCTGCATGGAGAGTCCCAGGGCAGGGCCTCTCAGTCAGCCAATGAGTAATTCTAAACATTTATTCACTTGTATTTGTTTTAAAAGATAACGCAGAGCCAAGATGACCTTGGGAGAGAAGCCGATTGCTTCCTATGGTCTCTGACTTTGTCAGTTAGAGTTCAAGGTCCACCCGGCTGATAGTGTATCTGAAAAGACCAATGAGGAAGATCAGGTGCTGTTAGCTCTTCCAGAGCCCTGATAGAGTCCACCAATACCAGGCGTTCATAAAAGCCTGGTTAAGCAAATAACCCTCACTTCCTGTCCACAGTAACTTTGGCTGAGGCTGCCTGGTAAGTCAGGATTTGGACTCCAGAAAGTTACATTTCAGTAGGGGCTGCATTAAACCCTGTCTTAAACTGACCCTTAAAAACAAACAAACAGCCGGGCAGTGATGGTGCACACCTTTAATTCCAGCACTTGGGAGGCAGAGGCAGGTGGATTTCTGAGTTCGAGGCCAGCCTGGTCTACAGAGTGAGTTCCAGGACAGCCAGGGCTACACAGAGAAACCCTGTCTCAAAAAACCAAAAACAAACAAACAAACAAACAAACAAACAGGGGCTGAAGAGATGGCTCAGTGGTTAAGAGCACTGACTGCTCTTCTAGAGGTCCTGAGTTCAATTCCCAGAAACCACATGGTGGCTCACAACCGTCTGTAATGGGATCTGATGCCCTCTTCTGGTGTGTCTGAAGACAGTGACAGTGTGCTCATATATACATAAATAAATATTAAAACAAGCAAAATAAAACCCAAAACAAAATCTCAAACTGTAGCAGCCTAGAACAGAACTGGGTTCCAATTTTCCCAGGAGGGAAGAGGGTCTCCGCCTACTGCCCGCGACCACCTGACTCTGGTCTGTGTCTTTATTACAGTTGTTGGAATGGTGACCGTATTCTTAGAAGTAGAAAGGGCTTTTTAATCATAAAAGACTGTCATACGAGTCCCTTTACTAAACCACAGCAGTCTTGGGAGATGGCTTATAGTCCCCATTTAAGTTGGAAAAAAAAAACCCTGAAGCTGGCATGGTGGCAAACACCTGTCACCCTAGTACTGGGAGGCTGAGGTGGGAAAATCAAGGAGTTCAGGTCAGCCCGGGATAGACTGAATTTTCCAGAGCACCCTGGGATACGTAGAGAGAGTCTGTCTCAAAACAGAGCTGAGCCAGTGGTAGGATCAGGAGTTCAGTCATCCTTGGCTACATAGTTTGAAGGCAGTTTCAGCTTTAAGATCCTGTCTTTAAATGAAGAGGAGGAGGAGGAGGAAGAAGAGGAGGAGGAGGAGGAGGAGGAGGAGGAGGAGGAGGAGCTGAGATCCCCTAGGAAAGCTTGGTTCTGGCAGGATCCAGGCCTGGAGACACCCACACCTGCTTCTGTATCCCCAGGACTGCAGTGTCCTCCTGTCTGTGGAGCCTACCGACCAAGGCTGCTACCCGCTGGATAACCACCTCTTCTGCAAGCCCTGCCACCTGAAGCGGAGTGCTGCTGGGTGCTGCTGAAGAGTCCCGATGGCCGGCCCTTCCCTGACTTGATTTCCCCTCCTGACCTTTCTTACATACTTTCCTTTTGAACCTCACTGGACACCAGCACACTGCTCAGCCCACAGTGTCTTAAATGCATGGGCCTGAGACACTGAGGCTTGGCCTCCTAGTACACAGCACCCTCCAGACTTTCAAGTCCTCTCCCTCCACTGACCAGGAGGCCCCTCAGCCACCAGAATGGGACCCTGGTCCATCCCTAGTGCTGCTCTAATAATGTTTGTGCAGAAAAGTCCCGGGATGATGCCTATGTCTCTGACCCATGATGCTTAGCTGCCTAGCGGAAGGTGCTGAGACCTCAGCTTAGATTCTAAAGCTGAGTTGTTTGAAGTGTGCCTTCCCAGCCACTCCAAAAAGTTTTTTTTTTTTTTTGAAAATTTATAAATTTGTGCTGGACATGGTAGCTCACACCTTTAATCCCAGCACTTGGGAGGCAGAGGCCTGTGGATTTCTATGTTCCAGGCTAGTCTGATCTATAGAGTGGGTTCTATTTAAATGATTCAAAACAATATTCTTTGGATTTGGGGGAGAGAAATCTTTTTAATTTTTCAGTGGGGTAAAATCAGTAAATGTCTTCCCTTGGTTTGCGGGGCTGCCAAGATGGCTCGTCTTGCAGAGGACCAGAGTTCATTTCATAACTACTTGTCCTGTAACTCCAGTTCCGAGAGCTCCGCCGCCCTCTACTGACCTCCTTGAAACCTGAATGCACATGGTGTACACACACTCAGGCACACACACATACATTAAAAAAAAAAAAATCTTTAGCCAGGTCTAATGGTGCACACCTTTAATCCCAGCACTTGGGAGGCAGGTGGATCTCTGCATTTGGCAGCCAGAGCTACAATCTTTAAAAAAAAAAAACACAAAAAACAACAACAACAAAAAACCAAACCTACCTGGGTTTGGTGGCGCATACCTGTGATCCCAGTGTTTGGGAGAGTGGCCAGAAGCTTCAGACCTGCTTGATCTTCACAGAATTCCAGATTAGTCTTGGCCACAATCAGAGACTCTGTCTCAGAAATAAATAAACAAGCAAACCATACAAGCATAGGAACTTGAGGTATTGGCGACCCAGCCTTCCCGCTGCTAGAACTCCTGCTGACTTGGAGCTGGGCTCAGGAGGAGAGGAGGATGGTCAGCAGCCTCCACCTGCTTCCAGACCCTGCTGTGAGTTTTTGTGACTGGCTCACAGACTTGGATTCAGTGCCTTTGATTTGCTAGGGAACAAATTTGGGGCTGAGCCTCCTCCCTCCAGACTTCATTGGTTCTGTGGCCTCTACAAATACACACACACACACCAGAATGAGGCCAGGGAACGTCACATCTCTTTGGTCTCCCTTTTGTACCCCCCATCCCCCACCTCAGCTCTGCAGCCCGGCTGCCCATAACCACTGCCTCTGTGAGGCCACACCTAGAACATTCTTTCTTTTAAAGAAATTCACTTTAGGGCTGGCAAGATGGCTCAGCCGGTAGAGGTGCTTGCCTCCAAGTCTGATGACCTGAGTTCTGTCTCTGGGACCCACACGGAAGGAGAGAACCAATTCCCATAAGTTGTCCTCTGGTTTACACATGCATACCAAGATACACACCTGTAGCCAGGCGGTGGTGCAGCATGCCTTTAATCCCAGCACTTGGGAGGCAGAAGCAGGCGGATCTCTGAGTTCGAGGCCAGCCTGGTCTACAGAGTGAGTTCCAGGACAGCCAGGGCTACACAGAGAAACCCTGTCTCGAAAAACCAAAAAAAAAAAAAAAAAAAAAAAAGATACATACCTGTGCACACACAGGAACACACATCTAATAGAGATAAAATGTAAAGTAGAAAAAAATCACTTTTGTGCTTTGTAACTTCTAAGGTGCACATAGAAAAATTAAACATGCTTTCCTTGCTTGCATCTTGTTTTTTCTCTGGGGTGGGGGGGAGTTGGTGGTTTTTATTTTGGGTTTTGTTTGAGTGAGATAGGGTCTTAGGTATCCCGGGCTGGCCTTGAACTACCTATATAGTCCCTGATTGCGTTGACCTCACATCCCTTGTCTCCACCTCCTGTATTCTGGGATTATGTTTCTAGGGATCAAACCCGGAGGTACATGAGGCTTTGTCTTCAATATATGGGTGGCTGGGGGTGTAGCGCAGTGGTTTGAGTACATTTAGCGTGTATTTGTGACACTGGCTTCCGTCCCCTGCACTAAAACAAAATATATGTGAATTAAAGGGAAGCTGATAAAGTGGTGACGTGCATCGGGACTCCTGTGAGGGACATGCATTCCCAGCGTAGGGGTCCTGGGAAACCAGCCAGCAGGCTGCAGGCTCTGGGCTCCGTCAAGGCAGATGTGGCGTGGAGCCGCTAGGGGGCAGCATGAGCCAGCAAGTTGATACCCGGCGCCAAGGTTCTCCGGCTTCTCAACAACTTCTCAGTGTGTAGGGTGTGCAGAATGCTCATCAGACACGTTCACTGCAGAGGCAGAGAGAGAAAACATCGCAAAAGAGTGACGTGGTCATGAAACTTTTCCACCTGTCTCAGGAATGCGTCCTCTCGGAAGGAGACCTGCAGCCGGAGATTATGCCCCTCGCTGGCCCAAACTCTCACTTGCTAGGAGGGGACGCCTGTAAACTCAAGAATGAGACCTGGGAACTTGGACTCTGAACAAAGGGCCATCAGGAGTTGCTGGGAGAGCCCAGAACTTGCCCATGGGCCTGTGCCAAGGTTCCTCTCACCTGAGGCCACACCCAGGTGCTTGGAGTCTGACCTCACTAGCATGTGCCTGCACCTCCAGTAGGGCTGCTGCCTACTCAACCAGACAGACCTTCAGAAGGAACCATGCAATGGGAAAGCAGGCCTGTGCTTGCCAGAAGTCCCGGAAGTGGAGGCAGGAGGACCCAAAGTTTAAGGTTATCACTCAGGACTTAGTAAGTACCAGTCTGCCTAAGGTACTTTGAGACCCTGTCTGGAAAGGATGTAAAGAGGAATAGTGTTTGTGACACACACCTGTAATTCCAGAAATCGGGGGGGGGGGAGGGGCAGGCCAGAGAAAGGAGGAAGGCTTAGAGTACAAGACCACCCTGTAATATGCAGAGAGACCATGTCTTAAAAACGGACAAGCTAGGGCAATGGTGGCCCACACCTTTAATCCCAAGGGAGGCAGAGGCAGTCGGATCTCTGTGAGTTCAGGACAAGCCTGGTCTACAGAGTAAGTTCCAGGATAACCGTGGCTACACAGTGAAACCCTGTCTCAAAAACCAAACAAGAAGGGCCTGCAAGATGACTCAGTGGTAGAGGCTTTTGCCGAAATGCCTGACAGCCAGAGTTTGAGTTCTTCAGCACTGCATAAATCAGGCCTGGTAGTGCCTCTCTGTAATCCAGCACTTGGGAGATGAGGCAGGAGGATCAGAACATCAAGCTCATTGTAGAAATCTTGAGGCCAGCCTGGGATGCATGAAACCATGTTCTCTCTCTCTCTCTCTCTCTCTCTCTCTCTCTCTCTCTCTCTCTCTCTCTCTCTTTTGGTTTTTTTTTTTTTTTGAGACAGCGTTTCTCTGTGTCTAGCCCTGGCTGTCTTGGAACTCACTCTGTAGACCAGGCTAGCCTCGAACTCTCGAACTCAGAGATCCGCCTGCCTCTGCCTCCCAAGTGCTGGGATTAAAGGTGCGCCACCACCGCCCGGCTGAAACCATGTTTTCTAAACACCAAAACAATTAAATAAATGAACAAAAACCTGAAGGTTGTTTGATTATTTTTTTTAAGTTTTATTTTTATTTTATGTGTATGGGTGTTTTGCCTGCAAGCATATCTGTGCACCTTGTGCTTTGAGAGACCAGAAAAGGATACCAGAGCCCCTGGAACTAGAGTTACAGGATATTGTGAGTCACCAACAGGGTGCTGGGAATCAAACTTGGGTCCTCTGGACGAACAGCCTCTTGCCTGGGTCTCTTGTTTCATTTTTCTCCTGTAGTTTCTACTTTGTGTCTTGCGATTGCCTGATTGTTCATTTTTAGGACTGGAGAGATACTTTAGCAATTAAGATTACATTATCCTTTACAGAGGACCTGGGTTCGGTTCCCGGCACTCACATAACATCTGCTTACCACTCCAGTGCCAGGGGATCTAACACCCTCTTCTGACCTCTGAGGGCTGCTGCACACACGTGGTATACGTGAGCTCGCACACAAGTACACACACACACATGAAAATAAAAACACGCTCACACACATCTGTAATGGGATCTGATGCCCTCTTCTGGTGTGTCTAAAGACAGCTACAGTGTACTCACGTACATAAAATAAATACATCTTTAAAAATAAATAAAACACAAAGACCTTTTTTTAGATTTTATCTTATTTTTATTTTATGTGCATTGGTGTTCTGCCTCCATGTATATCTGTGTAGATCTGGAGTTACAGACAGTTGTGAGCTGCCATGTGGTTGCTGGGAATTGAACCTGGGTCCCCTGGGAGAACAGTCAGGGCTTTTAACCACTGAGCCATCTCTCCAGCAAAGACTTTTCTGCATTTATTTCTGTGGAGGGGAACTGCATGTCACAGCTCATCTGTGCCTTCATGTGACTGTTCATGGTGTGGGTGTGCGTGTGCGTGTGTGTGTGTGTGTTGCTGCAGCGGCTGGAGATTACAGAACCACATTCTCAGCCCTGAGAAAGGGAACATTCAATGTGTTCGGCCCTTGAGGGAGCTTAGCTCAGCCCTTGAACTTTAGAAAGTGCTTTGCAATGTTCTCTGCTTCCCAAGAAAAAGCCCGGCATCCAGTGTGTGTGAATCATGCCACTTCTCAGGGGCTGGACTGTGGACTGAACCCTTTCATGGCCTGCCTTGTGTGGAAAATGCCCGGGCCTTGGTCAGAAGCTATGAGCTGTCCACACAGCGCATTCCTCCTGTTGGTTGCCGGATTCCAGCCTTTCCCCTCGTCCTTGAGCTCTGTCAAAGGCAGGTGGGTAAAACTCCTGTCCTGTCTGAGTAGGTTTCCCAATAACCTTCCCCTTGTGGAGAAACCGATGTCTGTTAACACATGAATTTCACTACATCTGATCTAAAATGTGCTGCATGGCTGCTCTTGGAGCTGGACGCAACTCCCCCCCAGCCCCCCCACTCCCCCCCCC